GGGGTATATCAGACCCTTTTCCCTAATAAGAATATCTTCATAGAAATTAGTAGTTTTTAATTAATGTATGTTTATGTTTGTGATCCGATTAGTTCAATTTATGTACAATAACATGTTAATCTTTGCTTATCCAAAAAAAAAAATGTTGGAACAAATACACATTAATTCAATAACAGACACTGCATTACATATAAATTATACAATCCATTGCTAAGAATCACTTACAATACATCAACACGACAAATTAAAGCAAAAGGTGTAAAAAACATCACGTGTGGTACGTAGGGAACTACGATATAATTAGTTGGATGGAGGAGGTGAAAGTGTAGGAATGTTTGGAAGTGAAGGCACGTTGAGCAGAGGATTCGCGGGCATTGGAGGCAGAGTCATTTTCGGGACTACAGAGGGCAAAGATGGTAACGGTGAATTAGCTGTTGGAAGTGTTGGTAACAATGTAACACTTGGGAATGGTGGCAATGTAGCGAATAGTTGGCTGAGGTAACGATGGTATGTTAGGGAACTTAGGAAGTTGCAATAGACCTCGAGCAGCATGGCTTGTGGTGATGCTTGATAGGGACAGTAATGCTACGATCAATAAGACGATTAATGAACAATTGCTTGAAGCAGCCATATTTGTTGTAATTTGCAATTTTTGAGGATGGAATTTGGAAGTTCTATTTTAATTTGAGTGAATTTGATCATTTTCTAAAGGGTTTTATATGTAGGTAAAGTTGTTTTGGTGTAGAAGCATATGATAACTCTAATATAATTGTTAGTTCACCTTCCTAAATGTTTGATTTGAGGAAAATGCACAATTATTTTCATGTCAAATGCATGGATGAAGTTTGGATCAACCATATTTCATACAAAACTAACTAATTAATATATTCGACGATATATCTTTTATGTTTACTAATTTTGTAATGTAAATATATTTGTTATAATGAACAACAATGGTGAATCAGTGTATCAGCATCCAATTGTTTCAAGTCCGCCATTGGACTGACTAGATATAACCAAACTATGCTCTCTCTGTCCCGTTTTATGTGATGGTATTTGACTGCCAACGAAGAGTTAAATGCCATTGCTGACTTATTTGGCAAAGGAGGGAACACAATTTAATGGTTTTTGTTGAAATATTACGGAAAAATACTTGATCACGTAAAATTTAGGAAATTCTTGAAAGTTCGAGGCGTGTCAAAGATATTTCACTGGATACATACATATGTATCTTTGGATTCAACAAGCACTTCTTCCAATACACTATGAACACAAAAAACTTATAAAGATTTATTAAGGAAAAAACTCAATACTCCCTAAATTTGTAGGAAGATTTTGTAGTGATTTATGAAAAAGACAAATAACTTGTGTAGATTTATAGATGAAAGAATCCATCAACTTAAAATGCTCTGCAAGCAAAAGGCTGATAGAGATGCATGCGTATAGGTTCACGTGAACACAATAGCTTTTGCTTAGATCCTGTATATATTTAAAAAACTACCAAACTATGAACTCGGATACTATGTAGTGTTAACTTGAGGTCACAATGGTAGGAACTCATATAATAATTTTCATTTATATGAATCAGTAATAGATGCTACATTGGATTAAGACAAATGACATAAATCAATATATATCACTCAGAATAGTACAAATGATACAATACATCGCCAAGAATCACATAAAAGATTCAAATTACAAAAGAAAAACAACACGCAGTAAAGACTAGTAGGGTAAAATAGGTAAAAATCATGCAGTTGGAAGCTGAAAGATTAGTTGGATGGAGGAGGTGAAAGTGTTGGAATTGCAGGCATGTTGGGAAGTGAAGGCATTGGTGGCAGAGTCATTTTCGGAACAGAGGGCAACGTTGGCAAAGATGGTAATGGTGTTGCTGTTGGAAGTGTTGGCAATGGTGGTAATGCTGCAGGGAAATTGGGAATATTAGGCAATTGTGGCAGTGTTGGTTTAGGCAGCGAGGGGATCGTAGGCAAGTTGGGAAGTTGTAGTAGGCTACGAGCACCGTGACTTGTGGTGATGCTTGATAAGAACAATAATGCTATGATCGCAAAGAGGATTGAGCAATTGCTATAAGCAGCCATTGTGTCGATAATTTGAACGAAGTACTATTTTCTTTTTTTCCCGCAAAAATTATGATAGTAATGGAAGTTGCAAGTTGTGTTTTAGTTTGAGTGAGTTTGTCATTTTACTGAAGGGGTACATATAGGGAAATCAGAAGTATTATATGATAGCTTTATTGATTAATTTGTTAGTTCAACTTCCTAAATGTAAAATGCACAAACTTTTTGAGTCAATAATATTATGGAAGTAGTTATATATAGATGAAGTTTAGATCAACCATATTTGATAAACTACTAATTAATATTAATATAGCAATAAGAGAAATCAGTTTTTACTATTTTTTCCGTTTCAATTTGTTCCGATTTATGTGATTGCACTCGGGGGCGTACCTACATTGGGTCAAGAAGGTTCATCTGAACTCACTTTTAAAATATTACACGATATATATAAATATATATGGTTTGTCTTCTGAAATATACACATATAAATAAAAAAAATTGACCCCATTTAAACAAGTTATAGCCCTTGGTCCAGCGGTAAAGTAGGTTCGTTTTTGTGGAAATGTCAAGGTTCAAAATCAGACAACAACAAACTAATTTATTAACTCTCTCTGTTCACTTTTAATTGTCATTGTTTTTATTTTTAGAGTCAAATGTATTTTTTCAGCATATTGATATGCAAAAAATTACAATTTATAATACTTTTCATATAGTTTTGAATATTCAATTTTTTTTGTTTAAAATATAAAATTAATGTTATCTAATTTAACTTTGAAATTAGTCAAATTGATTTTCAAAAAAACACAACATAACAAATAAAAATGGACGAAATGAGTAGTTTTTTTGTGAATTTTCTTCTTCATATTTAAACCCGCTTGATAATTTTTTATTTTTTTTTGTGAATTTTCTTCTTTATATTTGAACCCGCTTGGTAAAAATTGTAGGTGCCGTAGTGATTCACCGAAAGATTGACGCATTTATGTATTTTAAAGTTCCATCAGTTAACTTGAAATCCTATATAAAATTTTTGTGATCTGAAAGGTCCATTAATTAACTTGTCAACTGTCGAACCAACAGTAAAACGCATAAATTCGTTGAAATATCACCAGCAAAAGTTTTGTGTGTGGGTGGGGTGTTCAGCTAATCACATTAGGAGACCTTTGCTAATTGCCTAATTAATGATGGTCAAATAACTAATCAACTCAACAATTTGTAAATTTTTGGTCCTCAAAAGATAGAGTTAATGGTAAAAAACACACACGTAAACTATTACTTTTTCGTAAATTGAGATAATATATTGTTTAATTTCTTCATAGTTGAAATAAATAGTTTCTTACCTCAACTATTTATTGTTCCTTATACTTAGCTAAACTATCATTCTATCTGCATTAAAAAATACCTTGATGTTGAGTTGGTCAAATACATGTTATTGTTTGGGAACAAATATTTGGCTAACTCAGCGCCCATCTTTTTTTAATACAAAGGGAGTGATAGTTTAGATAAATGAATGGATTTAGACATTTTTGATGATTGGCAAAGAAAGATGAAACACGTCAGCCAACATGATCCAAAGGTGCACTATCACGAGCAGTTAAATTCGAGAAAGCTTTTAGAATGAATAAAGACAAGAGTGTAAAAATAAAAAAAATGGATAATGTTAATTCGTGAGAAAACCCAAGAAAATAAACATATGATGAATTGAAGAGAAAGAATCAATGAGTTTGATTTGAAGAAGGAGTCTAAAGAGGCAAGGAGTTTTAATTGAAAAAGGAGTCTCACTTAAAGTAGAATTCTTCAAGTTACTGTTGAATTGAACTGTTGGATTTCGACTACAATAAAAAAGAATCAATAAATGTAATTTGAAGAGGTAGTCCTAAGAAGCTAGGAGTTTGAATTGAAGGAGTCTGAAGTAGAACCTCTAATTCAAGAAGTTCAAGTCAATGAGGAGTTTGAAATGAACAATAACTCTATGAAGAATTGTGCTTAAATAGAAGTGAAATTGTCCAGAATAAGTGTACACTTATAGAGCAAAAGGAGCAAACTCAGAAATTAACTTCTCAAGGCTATTAGCGAAATGAAGGAACACATCGAAGAACTAATCCTTTTACAGAGTTTATGTGTTAAAAGTTTTTCTTTAGAGTTTGTGTTAGGAGTTTTTTTTTTTGTGAATGAGTCTTGATGTAATCTTAGTTCAATGAGCTATAAACTGAATTAAGAGTGTTGTCTTCAGGTTGTGATAACTCGAAGAGTCGGGAACACATACATTAGAAAATTTGTGTTGAAGGTTAGGAATTAGAGATAGTTCCTAGGATTACAAGAGTTGTAATCTAAATCCATAACTTGAAGTTGAGGTAGGTCGCAAAGTTTGTAATCTATTTCTGTGGAGGCTCAGTGATTTAGTGAAGTTGAAGTTAATCCTGTTTAAAGGTTCACGTGAACACAATAGATTTTGCCCATATCTTGATATATATTTACAAATTTATGAAGTCGATTACTATTGTAGTGTTAACTAAAGGTCATAACCGTAGAAATCGTGAATCAGTAACAGACACTTCATTGGATTAACACAAATGACATAAATCAATATATATATCACTCAGAATAGTACAAATGATACCATACATCGCCGAGAATCACATAAAAGATTAAAATTATAAAAGAAAATGCAAAAACACACGCGGTAGAGACTAGTAGAATAAAATAGGTAAAAATCACGCAGTTGGAATCCGAACGATTAGTTGGATGGAGGAAGTGAAAGTGTTGGAATTGCAGGCATGTTGGGAAGTGAAGGCATTGGTGGCAGAGTCATTTTTGGAACAGAGGGCAATATTGGCAAAGATGGTAATGGTGTTGCTGTTGGCAATGGTGGCAATGCTGCAGGGAAATTGGGAATATTAGGCAATTGTGGTAGTGTTGGTTTAGGCAACGAGGGGATCGCAGGCAAGTTGGGAAGTTGCAGTAGGCTACGAGCACCGTGACTTGTGGTGATGCTTGATAAGAACAATAATGCTATGATCGCGAAGAGGATTGAGCAATTGCTATAAGCAGCCATTGTGTCGATAATTTGAACAAATTACTATTATTATTTCTTTTGCAAAAAGTAATGGAAGTTGCAACTTCTGTTTTAGTTTGAGTGAGTTCGATCATTTTACCAAAGGTGTTTATATAGGGAAATCAGAAGGATTATATGATAACTCTATTAATTAATTTGTTAGTTCAACTTCCTAAATGTTAGTTAATTAAGGAAAATTCACAAACTTTTTGAGTCAATAATATTATGGAAGTAGTTATATATAGATGAAGTTTAGATCAACCATATTTGATAAACTACTAATTAATATTAATACAGCAATAAGAGAAATCAGTTTGTACTATTTCCTCTGTTTTAATTTATTCCTATTTGTGTGACTACACTCTAGGCGGAAGTACGTGGGGTCAAGAAGGTTCATCTGAACTCACTTCGTAAAGGAAAATTACACAATATATAAGTAGGGGTGTTCATGATTCGGTTTGGATCGGTTATTGACTAAAATCAAAATCAAACCAATCTAGTCGGTTTTTTAAGTTTCTAAAATCAAACCAAACCAAACGAAAAAAATAATCATCGGTTTGGTTATTGTCCGTTCAGTTTTACTGGTTTATTCGATTTGAAAGTAATAATTTTTTTGAGGACCTACGTAACTCGATAGAGACAAACACTAAGTATATGTTGGTTCAGTCAAACAATATTAGAGTTATCATTACACGAACAAAGTGATTCATTTAAGAGAAATTGTGAATATTTTATGTGAAGACTAAAATAAATTTTGATGGACTTGGATTTGAAATTGTTATATTTGGCCTAAGTGTTGGGCTTGAGAAAATGGTAAAGTTAAAGACTAAAGTTAATTAAAATTCAGCAAAATATTTTTAATCTATTTATGAATAATATATAAATAAGGGATAATGCACAAATACTCTCTTAACCTATGCCCGAAATCTCAGAGACACACTTATACTATATCAAGGTCTTATTATCCTTCTGAATTTATTTTATTAATAATTTTCTACTCCTTCTCGTCCTACGTGACACTATCTTGTGGGCCCAACGATGGTAAACTTTTTTTACAAGTCACATAGGCCGAAAAGGGGTAGGAAATCACTTATAAAATAAGTTCAGGGGTAATAGGACCTTAGTATAGTATAAGTGTGTTTCTGGGATTTCGGGCATAGGTTGAGGGGGTACTTGTGCATTTTCCCTATATATAATATTATAAAATTTAGGGATAATGCACAAGTAGCCCCTCAACCTATGCCCGAAATCCCAGAGACACACTTATACTATACTAAGGTCCTATTACCCCCTGAACTTATTTTATAAGTAATTTTCTACCCCTTTTTAGCTTAAGTGGCACTAGTTTGAAAAAAAAAGTCAATCATCGTTGGGCCCACAAGATAGTGTCACGTAGGACGAGAAGGAGTAGAAAATTATTAATAAAATAAGTTTAGGGGGTAATAGGACCTTAGTATAGTATAAGTGTGTCTCTGAGATTTCGGGCATAAGTTGAGGGGGTACTTGGGCATTATCCCTAAAATTTATATATCTAATTTATCGATTCGTTTTGATTATTTTTGCGGTTGTTTTTTAGTAAAAACAATACCAAACCAAATAGTACGATTTTCAAAATTTAAAAACCAAACTAAATCAAATATCAATTTTTAAAAATCGATTTAATTCGGATTGCGATTTAATTTGGTTGTTAATCGTAACCATGAACAGCCCTATATATAAGTATATTTAGTCTGTCTTCTGAAGTATAAACATATAAATAAAAACTTGACCCCATTTAAACAAGTTATAGCCCTTGGTCCAATGGTTAAGGGAGTTTGATTTTGTGCAAGTGTCCAGGGTCAAAATCAGACAACAACAAACTAATTTATTAGTTTTTTTGTGAATTTTTTTTCATATTTGAAGCGATTTGGTTAAAAAAAAATTATTTGTGAATTTTCTTCTCTATATTTGAACCTGCTTGGCAAAAATTTTAGGTCTGTTACCGATGCACTAGATCATTCACATAAATTCCTCTATTTTAAGATGGTCTTTTATTTTTGCCCCTTAAATTTGTGGTCTTTCAGTAACGACAATACGGGCAAAAATTTTTCATAGAAATACCATTACAGAAGGTGTGGGTGGGTGGGTAGGTGGGTTGAACAGCTAATCACATTAGGAGATCTTTGCTAATTGCGTAACTAATGATGGTCAAATAACTAATCAACTCAACAATTTGTAAATTTTTGGTCCTCAAAAGATACAGAGTTCATGGTAAAAAACACACACGTAAACTATTACTTTTTCGTAAATTGAGATAATATATTGTTTGATTTCTTCATGAGTTGAAATAGATAGTTTCTTACTTCAACTATTTATTGTTCCTTATACTTAGCTAAACTATCATTCTATCTGTATTAAAAAAGACCTTAATGTTGAGTTGGTCAAATACATGTTATCGATTGGGAACAAATATTTGGCTAACTCAGCACCGGTCTTTCTTTAACACAAAGGGAGTGATAATTTAGATAGGTAAATGACATAATGGATAGTAAATGTATGAAACTCGAAAAAAAAAGTATTCGGATGTGTGTTTTTTAACTATTAACTCGAAGAAATAATATGCTCGTTAGAGAGCAGAAAATAGTGATATAAACTCACAAGTAGTATTCTTCTTTATATGTTCAGCTTCTTTCCCTTTTAGGAAGTAGCTAGTCGCAAGAGAAAATCAGTAGTGGAGCCAAAATTTGAAGACTACGGGTTTGAATATTGAGATATTAGTACTTTTTAAGTCATCGAGTTCTAAATTTAATAATTTTGTACATATTCAATGAATTTCTTAAAACAAATACACATGATTTTGACCAAAGCTACGATTTCATCATTTGCTCATGTTATATTTGTATGGTGAGATTTACTTTCAATTAGTTAGTTTTATGTTGATGTTAGCCTATTGAAGTTCTTCTCCATTATACATTATACGGACTTCAAACAGGCAATGCGAGCAAGCTCATATGAGAGTTTTACTCCCCGGCATATATAGTGTTTTATTTTTTCATATGGACGATAGTTAGGTTACAAAATCAATAATGATGATTCATTTTCTAGGAACGAAGACTAATGTTTTTCAATATGATGGTAAACTTCTTTACTCAATTTCTTTTAGTTAATGATCGAATTAGTTTCAAGAAAATTATGAGTAACATGATACAATTTGTTCGAAAACTGCAATTTAGGTTGATATTTGATATACTGGGTAAATACATATTTATCACCGAAGAAAATAGACAGTGCATCACAGTAATACTAAGTCTCTTTTTTTCTGTATAATCAACATACAACACTTATAAATATAGAGTACAAATGATAAGATACGTCGTTACAAATGAAAAAGATTAAGAGGACAAATGAAAAAGGAAATCAATGTGGTAAGAAAGGTAAAGCTAGGAAGTTGCAGTAGGCTACGAGAAGCATGACTTGTGGTGATGCTTGATAAGGACAATAATGCTATCATCACAAAGAGGATTGAGCAATTGCTAGAAGGCGCCATTGTTGTAGATTTGTTTAGATGGCTTAACCTTAGGAATCAACAATTGTCAAAGTAAAATGCACATCACTTAACCATATTTAAATGTTAAAAAAGTTTATATGTAAGACCTGTTTTACATTTACTGATTTTGGTGTTAAATAAATAATGTGAATTTCATTTAAATATGCCAATGTTTCGTAATATATTTTTTAAAAAAGGCTAATGTTTTGTAGTGAGATATGCCAAAGACGAACAACTTGTGTTGATTTATAGATGAGAGAATCCATCAAATGGGGTGGCTAAAATGCTCCAACATATTTCTTGAAAATTCAGCACAATAACAAGGAAGAATAATGACAATAATCTTAGTCAGTGATGACACTTTCCCTGGACAATTTCGACTAGTTCTGCAATATTATGACCTCTTTGGGCGATTCCAATGCTCGTCAAGCCAGAGGCTGATAGAGATGCCTGGTTACAGGTTCACGTGAACTCAATAGCTTTTGCCCAGATCTTGAATATATATTTAAAAATCTATTAAACTATGAACTCGGTTACAATTCTAGTGTTAACTCAAGGTCACAACCATAGGAATTCATGGATAAATACACATTAAACAGTAATAGACGCTACATTGGATTAAGACAAATGACATAAATCAATATATATCACTCAGAATAGTACAAATGATACAATACATCGCCAAGAATCACATAAAAGATTAAAATTACAAAAGAAAATGCAAAAACACACGCGGTAGAGACTAGTAGAATAAAATAGGTAAAAATCACGCAGTTGGAATCCGAAAGATTAGTTGGATGGAGGAGGTGAAAGTGTTGGAATTGCAGGCATGTTGGGAAGTGAAGGCATTGGTGGCAGAGTCATTTTCGGAACAGAGGGCAACGTTGGCAAAGATGGTAATGGTGTTGCTGTTGGAAGTGTTGGCAATGGTGGTAATGCTGCAGGGAAGTTGGGAATATTAGGCAGTTGTGGCACTGTTGGTTTAGGCAGCGAGGGGATCGTAGGCAAGTTGGGAAGTTGTAGTAGGCTACGCGCAGCATGACTTGTGGTGATGCTTGATAAGGACAATAATGCTATGATCGCGAAGAGGATTGAGCAATTGCTATAAGCAGCCATTGTATCGATAATTTGAACGAAGTACTATTTTCTTTCTTTCGCAAAAATTATGCTAGTAATGGAAGTTGCAAGTTCTGTTTTAGTTTGAGTGAGTTTGATCATTTTACTAAAGGGGTATATATAGGGAAATCAGAAGGACTATATGACAACTCTATTAATTAATTTGTTAGTTCAACTTCCTTAATGTAAAATGCACAAACTTTTTGAGTCAATAATATTATGGAAGTAGTTATATATAGATGAAGTTTAGATCAACCATATTTGATGTACTAATAAATATTAATAAATATTAATATAGTCATCATTTTTATTTTTAGAGTCAAATTATAATAATTTTGGCTAACATTTTAAGATGTATTTTTTCAGCATATTGATATGCAAAAAATTTGTAATTTATAATACTTTTCATATAGTTTTTGAATATCCAATTTTTTTATTTAAAATAGAAAATTAATGTTATCTAATTTAACTTTGAAATTATTTAAATTGACTTTCGAAAAGCACAACATGACAAATAAAAATGGATCGAACGAAGTAGTTTCTTTGTGAATTTTCTTCTTCATATTTAAACCCACTTGGTAAATATTTTTTGTGTGTGTGAATTTTCTTCATATTTGAACCCGCTTGATAAAAATTAAGATTGACGCATTTATGTATTTTAAAGGTCCATTAATTAACTTGTCAACTCTTGAACCAACAGTAAAACACATAATTTCATTGAAATACAATCATAAAAGGTGTGGGTGGGTGGGTGCGGTGAACAGCTAATCACGTTAGGAGATCTTTGCTAATTGCCTACTTAATGATGGTCAAATAACTAATCAACTCAAAAATTTATATTTTTTGGTCCTCAAAAGAAATAGAGTTAATGGTAAAAAAAACATGTAAACTATCACTTTTTCATAAATTGAGATAATCTGTTGTTTTATTTCGTGAGTTGAAACAGATAGTTTCTTACCTCAACTATCTATTATTCCTTATACTTAGCTAAACTGTCACTCTATCTGTAATAAAAAAACACCTTGATGCTGAGTTGATCAAATACATATTATTGATCGGGAACAAATATTTGGCTAAGTCAACGTCAATCTATCTTTAATACAAAGGGAATGATAGTTTAGATAGATAAACGGATTCATGCAGTTTTAATGATTGATAAAGAAAAATGAAACACGCCGGTCAACATGGTTCAAAGATGCAATGTCAAGAGCAGTTGAATTCGAGAAAGCTTTCAGAATGAATGAAGACAAGAGTGCAGAAATAAAGAAATGGATATTGTTAATTTTGTGAGAAAACCCAAGAAAATAAACATATGACGAATTGAAGAGAAAGAATCAATGAGTTCGATTTGAAGAAGGAGCCTAAAGATGCAAGGAGTCTCACTTAAAGTAGAACTCTTCAAGTCACTATTGAATTGAAGTGTTGGAGTTTTACTACAATACAAAAGAATCAATGAATATAGTTTGAAGAGTAAGTCCAAAGAAGTTAGGAGTTCGAATTGAAGAAGGAGTTTTACTTGAAGTAATACTCCAAGTCAAGAGAGTTCAAGTTAAAGAGGAGTTTCAAGTGAACAATAGCTCTATGAAAAATTGTGGTTAAATGGAAGTGAAGTCGTCCAAAATAAGTGTGCACTTATAGAGCAAAAACAGCAAATTGAGAAATTAACTTCTTGAATGCTACTAGCAAACCGAAGGAACACATCGAAGAACCTGATCCTTTTACATAGTTTATGTGTTTGGAGTTTTTCTTTGTGAATGAGTCTTGATGTAATCTCAGTTCAGTGACCTAAGAACTGAACTAGGAGTGTTGTCTTCAGGTTGTGATAACTCGAAGAGTTGGGAACACATACCTTGGGAGGTTTGTGTTAAAGGTTAAGAATTAGAGATAGTTTCTAGGATTACAAGAGTTGAAATCTAAATCCATAACTTGAAGTTCAGGTAGATTGCAAAGTTTGTAATCTATTTCTTTGAAGGCTCAGTGATTTAGTGAGTTGAAGTCAAATCCTGTAGGGGTACAGGTCGTGATTTTTTACACCTTTTGAGCCGAATGTTTTCCACGTAAACATATTGTGTTTTTACTTACATCTTACTGCTTTGCTGGAATACGTTAGACAACTTGTCTTACATTTACGGGAAAAGTTAAAATCAGTAAATTATCAGGTTAGACTAACACTGGACAATATCGACTCGTCTGCAATATTATGACCTCTTTGGGCAACTCAAATGCTCGTCAAGCCAGAGGCTAATAGAGATGCCTGTTTAAAGGTTCACGTGAACACAATAAATATTTCCCAAATCTTGATATATATTTAAAAATCTATTAAATTATGATCTCGATTATTATTGTAGTGTTGACTCAAGGTCACAACCGTAGAAATCGTTAATCAGTAACAGACACTTCATTGGATTAACACAAATGACACAAATCAATATATATCACTCACAATAGTACAAATGAGACAATACATCGCCGAGAATCACAGAAAAGATTAAAATTACAAAAGAAAATGTAAAAACACACGCGGTAGAGACTAGTATAGAATAAAATAGGTAAAAATCACGCAGTCGGAATCCGAAAGATTAGTTGGATGGAGGAGGTGAAAGTGTTGGAATTGCAGGCATGTTGGGAAGTGAAGGCATTGGTGGCAGAGTCATTTTCGGAACAGAGGGCAATGTTGGCAAAGATGGTAATGGTGTTGCTGTTGGAAGTGTTGGCAATGGTGGCAATGCTGCAGGGAAATTGGGAATATTAGGCAATTGTGGTAGTGTTGGTTTAGGCAACGAGGGGATCGTAGGCAAGTTGGGAAGTTGCAGTAGGCTACGAGCACCGTGACTTGTGGTGATGCTTGATAAGAACAATAATGCTATGATCGCGAAGAGGATTGAGCAATTGCTATAAGCAGCCATTGTATGTTAGTAATGGAAGTTGCAAGTTGTGTTTTAGTTTGAGTGAGTTTGATCATTTTACTAAAGGGGTATATATAGGGAAAATCAGAAGGATTATATGATAAATCTATTAATTAATTTGTTAGTTCAACTTCCTAAATGTAAAATGCACAAACTTTTTGAGTGCAATAATATAATGGAAGTAAATTATATATAGATGAAGTTTGGTCAACCATATTTATTGAATGAATAATAAATATAGCAATCAGACAAATCGGTTTTTACTGCTTCCTCCGTTTCAATTTATTTGACTATACTATAATCATTCACACAAATACCCCTATTTTCGGGTGATCTTTTGTTTTTTCCCCTTAAATTTTTGTCTTTCAATAAGGACAATATGAGCAAAAATTATAACTTAAATTTTCTTTATAGTTAGTCCTAGAAAGATCGACACGTTTATGTATTTAAAATGTCCATTAATTAACTTGTCGAACTCTTGAACCAACAGTAAACGCATAATTTCATTGAAATACCATTAGAAAAGGTCTGTGTAGGTGGGTGGGTGGGGTGAACAACTAATCACGTTAGGAGATCTTTGCTAATTGCCTAATTAATGATGGTCAAATAACTACTCAAACTTAAAAATTTATAATTTTTGGTCCTCCAAAGAAATAGATTTAATGGTAAAAAAATATTTATGTAAACTATCACTTTTTCGTAAATTGAGATAATCTATTGTTTTATTTCAAGAGTTGAAACAGATAGTTTCTTACCTCAACTATCTATTGTTCTCTGTACTTAGCTAAACTATCACTCAGTTTTTATTAAAAGGAACCTCGAAGCTGAGTTGGTCAAATACATATTGGCTAGCTCAGCGCTCATTTGTCTTTAATACAAAGGGAGTGATAGTTTAGATAGGTAAATAGAACCATGGATAGTAGAGATATGAAACAAGCCAAGAAAATAGTAATCAGGTGTATTTTTAACCATTAACGCGAAGACACAATATGCTCGTTAGAGAGCAAAAATATTGATACTAAACTCACAAGTAGTATTCCACTTTATATGTTCGGATTCTTTCCCTTTTAGGAAGAAGTCACAACAGAATTTGAAGATTACCAGTTTGAGTATTGGGCTACTAGTACTTTTTAAGTTATCGGATTCCAAAATTTAATAATTTTGTACATATTCAATGAATTTCTTAAAACAAATACACATGATTTTGACCAAAGCTACGGTTTGTATGGTGTGATTTATCTTCAATTAGTTAGTTTTATGTTGACTGTTAGCCTATCAAAGTTCTTCTCCGTTATATAGACCTCAAACAGGCAATGCGAGCAAGTTCCTAGGAGAGTTTTACTCACCCGCATAGTGTTTCATTTTTCACACGGACGCAATAGTTAGGTTACAAAATCAATAATGATACACTTGATAAATACACATGTATAACTGAAAAAATAGACACTGCATTGCATTAATAAAAAGTCTTTTTTCTGGATAATCAACACACAATACTCATATATATAGAGAGCACAAATGATAAGATGTGGCGTTACAAATGAAAAACGAACAGCAAAAACATCAAATGGTAGAGGTAAGAAAAGTTAAGTGTTGGAAGCCGCGAGATTAGTTGGATGGAGGAGGTGAAAGTGTTGGAATTGTGGGAATGTTGGGAAGTGATGGCATGCTGGGAAGAGGAATATTGGCAGGCATTGGAGGCGGAGTCATTTTCGGGATAAAGGGCAATGTAGGCAATGATGGCAATGGTGTATTAGCTGTTGGAAGTGTTGGCAAAGATGGAATGCTTGGCAATGGTGGCAATGTGGCTGCTGTTGGTAAATTGGAAATAGTGGGTAATTGTGGCATTGTTGGCTGAGATAATACTTATCCGTATTGATCGTTTATACCTAACTAAATAATTTACCTTAAAGAACCAACAATTGTCAAAGTAAAATGCATATCAGTCAAGTGTTAAAAAAGTGTACATGCAAGATGTATGTCTTAAATTTATTGATTTTGCGTGAACACTCGGTGCAGATAGACTTTCAACCAACAACTATCGGTCCATGTGAAAAAAAGACTCTTCCCTAAACTTGGTTTCCTTGTTGATTGTTTAACCAAATATGTTGAACTTCAAAATATTGTTGAGCAGATTAGTTATTTGAGCATCAATTATTAGGGAAGTAAACATATTTTCCTAAGTAGTTGAACAACATTGGAAGAATCAACATAAAATAGTCAAATTAAAAACAATAGAAAATGATCAAACTCACTCAAATTCACACACCAAATACCTCATACACTAATCTTGTTAGTTTTTTCAACAACTTTCCCTATATATACCCCTTTAGAAAATGATCAAACTCACTCAAATTTTCAATTTATATCCTTAACTTCATTTCCCAAAAAACAAAGCAATCTAGCAAATTACAACAAATATGGCTGCTTCAAGCAACTTCTCAATAGGCCTCTTGTTGATCGTAGCATTATTGTCCTTATCAAGCATATCGACAAGTCATGCAGCTCGTAGCCTACTGCAACTTCCCAACTTGCCTACAATCCCGTCATTGCCTCAACCAACAATGCCACAATTACCAAATATTCCAAACTTGCCCACAACATTGCCCCCATTACCAAGTTTAACATCTCTGCCAGCACTTCCAACAGCTAATTCACCTTTACCATCTTTGCCCTCTGTAGTCCCGAAAATGACTCTGCCTCCAATGCCTGCGAATCCTCTGCCCAACATGCCATCTCTTCCCAAAATTCCTACTATTCCAACATTTTCACCTCCTCCATCCAAGTAATCTTTGCAGCTTCCAACCGCGTGATTTTTATCTTTCTTACCACATGCTCTTTTTGTTGTAATTTTAGTCGTTTATGTGATTCTCGACGATGTACTGTATCATTTATACACTTCTGAGTGCTATACATTGATTGTCATTTGTGTTAATCCAATGCAGTGTCTATTACTGATTCATGTATGTTATTTGTCCAATATATTTCCTGATACACGAAGATCAACATACATACATATTTTTGAGCAAATTTGATTATAACTGTTTTGTCGCACACAATCAGATGGCATTTCATTCCATTTAGAGAAGTAACAGTGATTCATACTACTAAGAAAATGGTTTAAGAAATTAGGTGAAAAGAATTAAAATTGGCTACTACATAACCAGACACTCAAACTTGGCCTGAGCTAGCAAGTATGTACTTTAGCAGATCTAAACATCTCAACTTGGTCTCAACTAACAAATAAACACTCCAACTCGTCCCTATTCTGTCTCGTTGACACCTGATGTTGACCTAACACATACTCTAGAGGTGTCTAGATGATCATTTTTGTAAGTTGGAGAGTTTAATTAACATACTGGAGATAAATTCAGGTGTGTCTAGATGTGTACTCTCAAAATTGAAGTACTTAATTACTTGTCAGTTGAGGGTGTCTGTTTATGTTTTATGTCAATAAAATACTCGATTAAATTTTGTAAAGGAGTTCAGCAGAACAAGCAGTGCACTCCAGTATCCGTGCAAATTATCTTTACTCTATTTACTAAGTTTCAGCACATAACTGTTGCTATTACGACGTTTTCAAGGAGGGTAAAACTTATCTCGTATCAAGTATTTACATTAAATCAATGAATGTATAATATTTGTTGGTAGATACACCACTATCATTTAACCATGGTTAGTTAATGCATATTTTCACTACATTAAATCACATAGCAAATTATACTGGAAACCAGTATATTTTCATGTGCATTAATTTATATTCCTCAAAAAAATAACCTTGAATGATCAAATAAATTGTTTCGGTAAATACATATTTGTACTAGATGTTTTCCCCTAATTAGACGGTTAACTTTTTAGAATCAAACAATCTAAGGGAAAATGCGTATTATTTAACCATAGTTAAGTATTAAAAAAAGTATATAACACAAGGGTCTTGCTTTTATTGGTTTATTGGTAGAGTCAATAGACATACATTATTAGCAAAATTAAAAAGAAACAATAAACAATTAAAGTTGTGGTTAAAGAGTGCTCCCTTTAATTGGTTTGGTCCCACGTGATATAAATCTGAATTAGTTTGACTCGTATGTTCTGAATACTCAATTGTCCATCAAATATATTAGTAGTTATTCAATCGTTTGTTTTCGAGTTGATTTTCATAGTGATGTGTACTGTCTGATTGCTTTATGTTTTGATTGTGAAACAGAACTTGATGTACTTTTCTGTTGCTTTTAGCTAATTATTTATGCTTTTTTTTTCTTTTATCATAGTTAAGCCTCTTCTTTGTCTAGTATCTATATTTTATATATAATTTTTGTTTAAAAAGCGACTCAATAAAATTAGTGGTCTAATATCAAAAGGATGTATAAAAACTAGAACACTAGATTTCATAAATTCATACTACAATGAGACACAAATATACATACGTAAAGATAAATCCATAATTTAAAATTTTGTATTCTTAGTTTCTAGAATAACGATATCACCTCAAGTGTTAGTAACTAGCTAGGGTCTAAATTTTAATTTTACGATCAAAGATATTGAGTTCAACCCCAAACCCATATGTTAAAAGACAACCTCCACCCGTGGAGATCTTAGATTTAAGTCCTAGAAATATAATGTCGTACTTGATGGTATGGTACTTCTCTACGTGAATCTAGATTAATAGGGTATCAAACACACAGTAAACAAAGAAACAAATATCAACTATATTGGGTTATTAAATATGTATACCGAAATATGTCAACAAGTCGCTTTGGCCGAGTGGTTAAGGCGTGTGCCTGCTAAGTACATGGGGTCTCCCCGCGAGAGTTCGAATCTCTCAGGCGACGATTTATTTTTAATTTTTTTAATTAATTTCGCCTTCGATGTTGGATACACCATTTTTGAAATTTTTTTAATTTTACTTTCGCCTTCGATGTTGGGTACACCATTTTTGAAAAATTTTTTAATTTTATTTTTACAAAAATATTACAAGAATAATATTGTTAATCACGGGATCA